TACTGGGATTATAAGCAGCCCTGGTCTTTCTCCTTCTCCTCCCCAACCCTATCAGGACTCTTTCTATATTGCCCAAGCTGACTCCTGTGCTCCAGAGCCCTCCTTTGCCAGCCTTGGAAGTAGCTGGAACTACAGGGTCATACTACTCTACTCGGCTTTAGGGTACTTTGAAAAACTCAGATGCCCGGGCGCTAGCCCAGAGCACCTGGACCATGATGAGGGGGATGAAAGGGAAGGGGCCATCGGCACTGTTAACCACCCTCTGCCGCACCTGAGTCACCACAATAGTACTTGTTTGACCAGAGAATATAGGGTTGGAGATGACCGTCCATAAGAGAGGAATCTGGAGAATTCCAGACTGTCCTGTAGTTGCTGTACAGTCGGGGGTTGTCACCCTAAGAGCTTTTTGAATGAACTTGAGAATCTGGGGGAGTCTGGGTGATACACATTGACCAGGAGTTCCCATCAGGAGTTGTTGGGAAAGAGGCTCAAAGGCAACATTTGTATAACTTTTACTTTTTGTATAAATTTGCATGTACTCTCTTGAAAGGCCAGCATCCAGGAAGGGAAGACTGGCTGAGGCTGAGGTCTCTCCTTAGGGTAGGAATTGTAGTGTCTAACAGGTTAACAAGCATCCCTCCTCTGCCCAGTGAAGTCTGGGGACTCTGAGGCTCCAACTATGTTGGTGGAAGTCAAGTGAGTCCAATATCTTGGGTTATCTGTTTCTCCACAGAGACAGAGCTGTTCCAATCTCCCACTCAACGCCAGGCCCTGAGCTAGCAGGCTGAGGAGAATGAGGTAAGGATTCCTCCCCTAATCGCCTGTAAGCTACGAGACGTAAGGAGAAGCAATGGAAAGTGATTTTGAGAAAAGACTAGGGGACTAGGAAGGCTCCAGATTCTTGGGAGTGTGAAGCAGGACAGAAGGGGCAGGACCTAGGGGTGCAATGCTCTGAGGCCACCACCAGGGGTCAGCACTCTGCCCTATCATCTCTGAGCACACCATTTCCCTCCTTGGGTCCTTCCATCTCCTCATCAACGCAGGACCAGGCCGCCTCCCAGTCAGACAACTTGATGTCTCTCTTGACCTTGGGGAATTTGGTATCTCTCTCATCTCTCCAGTTGGCTGGTGAACAGAAAGTACCTCCCAGGTCTCACTTCTCTGGCTGACACCCAGCTTAAGCTCTCTGGTGTGGTTTTAGCGGGGGAACCAAGAGTATTGTGGAGTCACTTCTTCCAGCAGATATATTTTTAATGTACCGACAAGGCCCTTTTCCATGCCCAGGACCCTTTCATGTGTCCCAGAAATAAGTTTCAAGAGCCTACCCCTCTCCTAGACCTTGATAGGAATGTTTTCATTCACAGGGAAATCTGATCCTTAACCTCCTTCTGTGATCAGGCACATCTCTTTCAAATCTACCTTCTGTCTACCTCTCCTACCCACATTCTCCTCCCACAAGTGAGGCTTAGAGGTTTACAGTCTCAACCCAGTCCTCACTTTGACCCTGACCTCATACCCCCCTCCTCCAGGAATCCTTCCTCCCCTGCCCCAAGGTGAGCGGGACAGGAGATGGTGCCTAGCTCTACAGGGGCCTCAGACAGAATCCCATATAGAAGGTTGTGTCTTTTCCCTCTGTGTGTGGCACTCACTTTCGTCCCTGGAATTTCTGGGGGCCCCTCATGGCCTGGGCAGAGCAGAAGGCGGGTAGGAAGGGGAGGGAGTCAGGGCAGGGGAATACCGACCACAAAATACTGCAGTCCCCATTCCTTTCCCACACACCCCCACCCCCTCCGCCAAACACGATCCCTGGGTTAATTTTTAGCAACAGAGCTGGCACATTAGTCACTCCCTGTCACCCACCTACACGGCAGGAGGCTGGTGCCGTCATCCATCAGCTGAGAGGTGGGATCCGGCCCCACCCTGGACCACTCTCCCCCTCTCTTGGGTGTAGAAGACCAGCTGGGTAAGAGCCCTTTCAGCCTGGGTGAGGGGTGCCGATATCACTCTCAAGACCAGCTGCGTGGCAGAGCGGGGGCAGAGCGCTAGGAACAGGCTGGGGTTGGGAACCTGCCCAGGGAACAGAAAGCAAGAGAGATCCAGGAAGCCCGTACACCCTGCAAGGGCTAACCTGTGCCAGGCAGCTGGTCTCCTGGCAGCCTTGGGCTCTGAGAACAAAGGTATGAGGGGCCTCTTCCCCTAGACGTGAGCTTAAGGATGCTGAGCCTCGATGCAGAGCAGCTGTTCAAACACAAGAGCTTGGAGAAGCTGTTTTCCTCTCAAAGCAGAAAAGGCACAGAGGCAAGCTGCAGGTGCCACAAGGGAGCCACCACCCAGCCCCAAGGGACATTGTAAGAGGAGCTCATAGATGCCAGCTGCAGGTGAAGCAGAAGAGGGGCTGCCTCTCCCCACCCCCAGGGCTCACAGGTGCAGAGGCTGTGTTTGCCCCTATCCAGCTGTAAGCCCAGGAGTCATGTGATCCTCAGACCCTCTTGAGCTTTTACTGAGCACTTGCTGGGGGGCGGAGCTTGGGTGAACCCCTTCAGGGGCTTTACCGACTGACTCACAGTTGGTTCTCATCTTCTTTTATTTTTTGCCATGCTGGGGACTGAACTCAGGACCTCACACACATGAAGTCTCTGGCACTGAGCCACACCCCAACCCGGAGCTGCAACCTTATAAAAGGCTTTGTATCTACTCCAACCATGGCAAAAGACAGAGTCAAGAGTATCAACACAGGAAGTGAATATAATTACCAAGCCAGAGAAAGAGCCATAAAGAAGATAAACAAAGGGGCTTGAGATTTAGAATAAGGGAACCGGTAACTGTTTCCGGTGGGCTCTGAAAAAAACCTTAGAGGAGGTGATGCTAAGCCAGGACCTCAGGACAAGGAATCGATCCAGAAAAATATTTCAGGCAGATGGAGTGGCATAGACAAAGGCACCAGGGCCAGAAGCCAGCGAAAGCCTGGCATCACTGGGGAACTGGAAACACAAAGAGTAGTTTGGTGTAAATATCTGTGGCGGGAGAGGAGAAAGAGTTAGAGATGGGAGAGAGACGTAGGAAGAAGAGCCCATGAGGTCGGATGCAGGTTATCCCAACGTCACGTGGATGGATTTGAGGACCACACAAGGGTTCCAGTGGCTGTATGACTGGGCCCAATAGCTTTCTGTAATGTGGTAGCTTAGAGTGAGGTGATGGACAGACAGGTTGCAGTAAAAAGTTTTAGCTTCGTGTTTTTAATTCCATAGGGCATCATGATGGGTTCGAAGCAGAGGGTTGAGGTTTGATTTATTCAGAAAAACGGGAAAATGATGAGGCCAGGCATTGTGGCAGATCTCTGTGAGTTCAAGACCAGGCTGGACTACAGAGTGAGTTCTAGGACAGCCAAGGCTACACAGAGAAATTGTGTCTTGAAAACAAAACAAACAAACAAACAAAAGGTACATGTCTTTAATCCTAGCACTGAACTCCAGGACAGCCAGGGCTATGTAGAAAGCCCTGCCTCAAAAAAATTTTTTAATTAAAATATTATGTATCTATTATTGTATGTATGGTTTCTGTATTTCACACAGTTGCACGTGCTGTAGCCCCCATGGGGTATCACAGAATGACCCTTAGGAGTTGGTTCTTTTCTTCCACTGTGACTCTAGGAGTCAGACTCAGATCATTAGGCTTGCGCAAGTGCTTTTACCTGCTGAAGCGTTTTTATGGACTTTTTTTGTTTTGTTTTTTTTGAGACTAGGTCTACTCTTGTAGCCCAGGCTGACCTCAAACTTGCTGTGTAGTCAGCTGAGGCTAGTCTTGAACTCCTGACCCTTCTGCCTCCACCTCCCAAGTGGTCCAGAGGCAGCTGTGGGTTTGCTTTTGAAAGGGTCACCTGACTGCTTGGCAAAGGAAGGCTGACAGTGAGGTTGTGGAAAGAGGTAGGGCCCACTCCAGGAAGGTAAGTACAGACTGTGGAATGAGGTATGCCCAGGGAAGGCTCCACCCAGACTTCCCTCAAAGCCACAATTGAATGCTGGCCACTGCCACAGGACAGCAATCTTAAGTGCCAGACCCTGCTCTGCTGCTAGCTTGCTGTGTGACTACCCTTACCCTGTCGCTCAGCAGGTTGCTTCCTGGATGTGGTTGGGAACATGCTGTATTGAGGGTCTTTTGTGCTAGGATTGGCCAGGAAGTCCTGAGCCTGCTGCAAGGGACATACACCCTTCTGAGCAGGGAGGACACACACCCTTCTGAGTGGGAAGGACCTACACTCTCCTGAGTGGGGAGGACATACACCTTCATGAGTGAGGAGCACCTACACCCTCCTGAGTGGGGAGGACATGCACCTTCATGAATGGGGAGGACTGAACAACCACTAAACCCATGAACGTCAAGACAGTTCCAGATGGTGATTCATAGTGTGATGGAAACAAGCCCAGGCCATCACAGAGGGCATGGCCACATTTGACTGAGTCGGCAGGTCTTAGAGAGGTAGATCAAATACTGAAGGGGTCTCTAGTGGAAAAGTCAATGCAGAGGCCCAGAGGGACATGTCTGTAGCCAGCATTCTGAGCAGTAAGGAGCCCAGAAATGAAGCTCAGGGCTTAGCCAGGAAGGTACAGGAGTGAAGGATGGGAGGAGGGCCAGGAGACGGACCTGTCTGTCACAGGTTGGGTGGACAGTGGCTAAGTCTGTGGATCTAGCGTCTACTCAAGACAGACCTCAGATGCGCTAGCCAGGAAGCCAGGAAAGGACGTTAGACAAGTGACCTGTTGTGGGTATCTGGAGAGAGAAGCTTCAAAAATGCACCTGAATGAGAGGCCCAGGTTCTAAAGAGGGTGTGGGGCCTCAGTTCAGGCCAGCGCATGTTCATTAAAATCCCCTAGACAATTTCCCTGGCTTTAGGCTAAAAGAAAGATGTGAAGTGCAGCCTGTGTGTGTTTGGAGGGGGCTGCATGGCAGAGTCAGAGCTTGCCTGAGCACTCCCCCACAGGCAGTTACCACACTGACACAGATGCAAAAAAAAAACCATCAATTTTATACAGTTTGTGGTTCAGAAGCAACATATGCAGAAAACGGTGGAACAGTCTATGCTGCCACACCCCACCTGAATGAACTCATTCCTGTTCCCCAAGGAGCACAGAACCCAGGACCCCTGCCTGGCAGGACCCCACTTAGTTATAGACCCCCGACAGGGGTTAAGCCCTTAGGGGTCAAGGTTGGAGGGAGGGGACCAGCACCTTGCCCCCTTGGGGCCCACTGGTCCATTGATGTGTGCGCGCACATGCGCGCGCGCACACACACGCACGCACATGAGTGTCTGTCTGTCTGTCTGTCTGTCTGTCTGTCTGTCTGTCTCTGTAGGGTTGGGAATTATCCATAGTGGATCTCCTCTCCCCAAGGCTAAGTAAGGGCTGGGAAACTAGAAAAGCTGAGGAGAGGCTTTCTTGGGACAGGGCCCCCACAAGGCACGACTGACCCAGACTTTAGGCTGGTACAGCCCTCTTTGGTTCCCCCAGACCTCTCCCAACTCCCAGTGTCTATTCTCCTCCTGAAGAGCTCCTGCTGAGGTTTAGGAGAGGACAGAAAGCAACTAGTCTCCCTTTTTTTTTTCTCAGCAGACAAGCCGTGAACCGACCAGAAGGGCCAGAGCTAGCAAGGACCCTCTCCCGCAGCTTTGGGCTCCTGGGGTCCTTAAACCGACACTACTTTTTGCACTGGCTGTTACGATGAATAAATAAATAAATACTTCCCACCTGCCCACCCGCGCCCCTACAGCTGGCTCTCCTCTTCCTCCAGGGAGCGGTTGAGTCCGGGGATAAACTTGAGCAGCCGCCTGCGGAAGCTGCGGTACTTGGTCTTGCGTAGGCCCGCACCACACAGGGCCTGTTCGCGGGCCTCAGTCCAGAGCGCGCCCGGCGCGCCCCCGCCGCCACCCCCGCCCGGGCCCGCGCACCGCACACTGGCGCTGCGGCTGAGCGTGGCGCGGGGTGCGGGACACAGCACGGACGCCGGGGTCTCGGCGGAGCTCGGGCCTGGCGCGCGCGCGGGGGGCGGCGGGGGTGGCAGCGCCTGCGGCTCGGCGCCCCCAAAGAAGCACGTGTGGTACACGGCGTCGTCGGTGTCCCCTTTGGCCCGCCGCGCGCCCCCGCGGGCACCCCCAGGCGCAGCGAGCAGAGGCCCAAAGGGCAGCGAGCCTGGAAGCAGGCCTGCACCGTAGAGGCAGGAGCGCACGGACTCCAGTGTGTCATAGATGCTTGGGTCCTTCACCACCAGGCCTGTGGAGACAAAGGACCAGGGAGCTTCCTGAATCCAGGGGCCAGAGCGCTCTAGGCTAAGGGTCAGAAGGCATGGGCAGAAGATCCTGTTCTTTCCTTGAGGCTACCTACGAGGGCCCTAGGCCCCAGTCTTTCTGTCTGTAAAGCCGGAGTTAATACATACATGCACGCACGCACGCACGCACGCGCTCCTTTTGGAGACGGTCTTTCCACAGAAAGGACTGAGAGGCTTCTTTTGGAGACAGAGTCTTTCCACAGAGCCCTAGCTGTCCTAGGACTTATTATTGTAGACTAGGCTGGCCTCAGAGATCAGCCTGCCTCTGCCTCTGCCCCTCTGTGCCTCTATGCCTCTGCCCCTCTGCGCCTCTGCCCCTTTGTGCCTCTGCCCCTCTGTGCCTCTGCCCCTCTGTGCCTCTGCGCCTCTCTGCCTCTCTCTGCCTCTGCCCCTCTGCCCCTCTGCCCCTCTGCCCCTCTGCCCCTCTGCCCCTCTGCCCCTCTGCCCCTCTGTGCCTCTGCCCCTCTGCCCCTCTGCCTCTCTCTGCCTCTGTCTCTGCCTCCTGGGATTAAAGACCTGCACCAAACAGCAGTACTCAACCCTAACCTCCAGGGGGCGACTGTGAGAACAAAACTGTGTATAACGGTGGGGGTCCACAGCAGTAGCTCCAGGCAATCCCTGGGAGTTAGTTCTAAGAGGGGAGTGCTGCTGGGGGTGGGGGGGGGTGTCCGTGGGGATGGCCTGACCTACTCACCATGTACTAGCCGCTGCTCTTGTACCATAAGTGACCTGTATTCTCCCCACTTCTCGTACAGGGTTTGCTGTAAGACACATGCAACCAACTGTCAGGATTACCAGGTCACCAGCAGGATATGGGGACACATGGGAAAGGGAGAAAGGCACAGAAGCCTCAGGGCTAACAGAGGTTAAGAAAGATGCAGGAACCTTTAAAAGGGCCTGAGGGGCAGGGACCAGGAAGAGGAAGTCAGAGCCTGTATTTTCTTGGTCCCCACCTTAAGGTACTGCAGGCGTGCCTCCAGTTCTGCCTTCCGAATGGACGTCCCATACAGAGTTTCCAGTCTGAGGGATGGAGGGGGGCGGAGGGACAAAGGCTGAGCGAGCCTGAAGGCGGAGGAAGCACCGCAAGGCTGAGCTCAGGAGCCCTTAGGCACTGCACCTAGACATGGATACCTGAGAACATTCCCGGATGCCTTGATGATATCGACAATCTCCCGGTGCCGGATGCCTTCCACGTTGAGACCATTGACGCTGGCGATGGTGTCCCCTGCCAGGAAGAGCAGAAGTCAGGACCTGTTTTCCGGGGCACAGAGGAAGGGTTCCAGACAGACGTGGCAGGATGGTGACCTGGAGAAACCACTCCTGAACTCCCTTCCACAGTGGTGGGGAGACCTGGGCATCTCTTTTATCCCACTCAAAATACACAAGACCAGTTGAAGGAGGGTGGCAGTGCATGTCTTTAATTCCAGCACTTGGGAGGCAGAGGCAGGGAGATCTCTATAAGTTTGAGGCCAGCCTGGTCTACAGAGCAAATTCTAGGACAGTCAAGGCCATACACAGAAAGACTGTCTCACCAAACAAACAAACAAAACTAACAAACAACAAAACCTAAAACCTAGCGGGGCATGGTGGTACATGTCTCTATGTACCTCCCAGCACCTGGGAGACAAAGGTAGGCAAATCTCTGTGAGTTTGAGGCCAGTCTGGTCTACATAGCAAGTTCCAAGACAGCCAGGGCTGTTACATAGAGAAACCCTGTCTCAAAGAACAAAACAAAACAACAACTAATAAACAAAACCACAGTCATTTCTCCCTGAACAGAGACCACCAGCTTGTCTAGATATAACAACCTATGCTAGGTTCCAGGGATCTGAGAAGAAGTGAGAAGTTATCACATATGCATACCCCCAGGAATCTCTCTCCCCCATCACAGAGCCCTCCCAGGTTCCCAGGCTCCTCCTGGAGTTAGCTGTTTCTGTTTAACCCACACCTGTCACGAGAATCATTCGATACAGGTAAGGCATAGGGTGAACAGTACCCAACTGGGAGCTGGCCCAGGCTCCAGGCATGAGAGTTTTCATGCTCCCTCACACCTGGGAGTGCTTGTTTGACATCTGTAAGGGGTGTGGAACCTAGCTGTGGCTACATCAAGGGATATCAGGAACTACCTAGTAAAGTGCCGCTGGTTGGTAAGTGGGCAAGAAGGTAAGGGCCAAGGGGCAACTGTGTTGACAAAATAGATGTGAATTCATGAGAGCCCCAGGCTAGCTGACTGGGACCTTAATCTCAGGGTCTCCATCATTTGATTGATTCCTTGATGAAGGACACAGCACAGGTGCCCCATCTGGAGAAGGACAGGTTCTCATGGACCACTTTGAGGCAGACCTGGTAGAATGCTTTTCTACCAGATTCTGCCCAGCTGGACTGCACAGCTGCCAGGAGGCAGAACAGCTGCTCGCAAGCAGCAACGTTTTTCTGGGCTTCACTTTGTGCTCAGGGAACTGCCACCGCCGCAGCCCCACACTGTTGCTTGTCCCGTTTTGCAAAAGAACCACACACGGTCCCACAGTAAATGGCCAGTGTGCCCGAATCCACATTCAGGATTCTGTTAATTCTTCTGGCCTTCTCCAAGTTGGAGGATGAAAGAGAAAAAAAAATATGCCTGCACTTAGGAGTAAAGTTATGCACTGTCCCCAGAGGCCTGTGGGCTCAAGGCATACCTGGCGTGAGCCCAGCCAGCTGGGCAGGGCTGGACTCATGAACTCGGCAGACGAAGGTCACCATCTCTACACGCTGCTCTTCCCGGTGATGAAGGCCATAAGTCTGTAAACAAGAGACCGAACGCTCAGCAGAGGCAAGCGGACCCCGTCCATCTTCCAAACTGTCCTCTCAACCCTCCCGATTCTATGCCCAGTTTTCCCACACCTGGATCTCGAAGCCAAAGGTCTGGTTGTCCCCCTTCTCCAAAGTCAGAACCTTCCTGCAGAAGACAAAGGGTCAAGATCACTAAAATTAAGAAAAGTATGGGAGAGCTGACTATGGTGGGGCCCACATCTGTAATCCTAGCCCTAGAGAGATTGAGGCAGGAGAATACTGCATTTGAGTCTGAGCTGCATAGTGAAGCCCTATCTTAAAATACAATAACAAAAACAGGAGTTTGACAGTCCCACAGCTCAGTGCCCAGGGATGTGGAAGTCTGATCTTTAACATCCCAGAAGGACCCAGAGTCTCCTGTGACAGCTCATTCTTCACAGATTTTTGGAATGTCCTTCCCAAACCCAACTGAAATTGGCCTCAGGGAGCTGCACAGAAGAATAAAACCAGCCTCCTGTGTGGGGCTGGAGGTGGGGGCAAACCAGGAAAGGCTGGCCTAAGAAAGGAGTGAGCTTTCCAGCACCCAATACTTCCAGTGAGTCTGACCATATACTCACTAACCGAAGGCCCCAATTTGGCCCCCCAGACTGGAGCATCCTGGGTCTGATGCTTTGGGGAAAACAGAGCCCCAGTCCCAGGGGCAGTCACGAGGCTGGGCGCAGACCGCAGCCGCTCCTCCCAGCTGTGGTGTGGCCAGCCCACCAGATGTGAGGGCAGGGGGGAAGGGAGCCTGGGGCCACCCCTTCCCGAATTGAAGGCTGCCTGCTGGACACAATGGTCTGGAACTGCTCCAGATCCTAGGCTGATGGGGGAGCCCAGAGTTTCCTCTGCCCACCCCTTCCCCTTCCTTTCCACCATCCAGAGGCAGAATAAAGTGGCTCCTAAGGCCTCTTTGAGTCTGGCAGCCTCAGAAAGGCCCTGGAAACCAGGCCTCTAGCTTCTATCCTGAGTCATAGGCCCTGCCACTTAATGCTGTGCAAAACACTTCTCTTCCTTGGAAGCCCCATATGTTCTGGGGCAGGAGCTGGGGAGACCTGGAAGTTCTCTGTCTGTCCCAGTGCTTTCTGGGTTCCTGGAAAGGTCTGTGAACTTCTACTGCAAAGAGCCAGATGGTCCATATGGCCTCTGTCATATATTGTTCTTTGTTTTTATAACTTTTTTAAAATATTAAAATAAGCTGGGCATGGTGGTGCATGCTTTTTTAAAGCCCAGCACCTGGGAAGGCAGGGGTATCTCTTGAGTTCCAGGACAGCCAGGGCTCTTTAGAGAGACCCTGTCTCAAAAAGCATAACAACAGCAGCAACAACAACAACAACAAAAACTAGTTTGTATTGTATGTGTGTGCATATAGCATCAGGTTCTTAGTTAAAGGGCCAAACAGACCATCCTGGCCAGGAGGTCACAGTTTATTAGACCATTTCAGAGGAAGCCAGGGTCCTGAGCTTGAAACATAGGCAAAAAGGGAACCTGAGCTCCAGGTTGTAGGAGGAGCACCTGTCCACTGTCCAGATCCTTCCTAAACTTGCAGCTAAGGGATGGCACCAATGGACAACTAAAAGCCTGAGGCATAAAACCAGTCAGACTCAAACAGCTGGTCAGAGAATGCCCACGGTCTGGGCCTGCCGGGGTGGGTGGGCTCAGGGAAGCTACGGAGGACAAGTTAGAACATCCCTCCTCCCCACCCTCCCCCCACCTCTCACTAATCCAGCTCTCCCAGGAAGACACAACTGGCGTTGATTGGGGGTGGTTACGGAGCACCTAATGACTCAAAGGTTCCCCCCACCCTGTTCTGCCGCCCCTTCACACAGCCCACACCCCCACCTGCCCCTCAATCCCAGCAGGAGAGTCATGCTCAAGGATGGGAGATTGCTCCTAGGAGGCTGAGCCGAGATGCTCCACCCCACCCCCAACACCTCACTTTTCTAGACCACTGGCAGGGGCTTTGGGTGGGGGTGACTCACCGTTGCTGTTCAGGACTCTGAGTGAAATTCTTCCAACGAAATCCTGAGCCCTGGGTGGGAAAAGGCCAGAGAAGATAATGAAGGGGCTATCCTGGGGCAGATGCTGAGAGGGAGCTATCCTGGGGCAGATGCTGAGGAACCCTCTCTGGGAGGACTCTCACCTGAGCCCGGCTCTAATGCAACACCCCACTTCCCGCTGCCTGACTTTTCCTTCCTATCTACACCTCTGCTTTGGTGCTAATGCAACTGTTTGCCATATGCAGCTGCTGTTATCACTCCCAGAGTTCAAACCATCCCTGGGACCCCAGGGTCTCATCTCTCCTGGGTTCTAGGCCAGTACACTCAGCCTCTACTAACCAGCTTTGGGAAGACTGTGACTCTGGAATAATCTCACCACTGGCATCATGTCTGATGAGTTCAGACCTTCCAGGCCCCAAAAGCTGAGGCAGGAGCTTCCCCGAGTTGAAGAAGAAGGAAGCCATGGACTTAGGGTTCTTGCTCCACAGACTCCTGCCAGCTGGGTCTGTCCATTTAATGGTCCAGGCAGACTCAGTATTTTTTGGGGAACGTAGAGTCAAGGGCCTGGCAATGCCAGTCTGAATGTGGCAGAGGTGTCAAATCTTCTAAGAACATGTTGCCTGGGGGTAGGTAGGGCAGTAGATTCCAGATGAAGCTGGCTGTATGTCCCCCAAACCTGAGTCTCTTGATATTGCCATGAATTTTTATCTGGAACAAAATAACTACTAAATAAATAAAAATAAGTAAACCTCAGAATCAAACTTATCTCACTATACTTGAGAAACTGGAGACTTTTTTTTTTTTTTTTAAAGAAGGTCCCGAACTCTTCAGGACCCCAGATAACCTAAAACAACCTCTGTTCCTCCTAAGATTTTAAGTTCTTGGAGAAAGTCTCATCCGGGACCAACCCTTTCCCCCAAGCGCCAAACTGCCTGAGGCCTTCCTGGTTTGGGCTTTTGTTAACACTCTCTGCCCCCATAAGCTACCCCAAAGCAAGGAAGAGAAGCGGACCTTATTCCTCCAGAACTAAAGATTAGCCTTAGGGTGGGGACAGTACCCAAATAGGCCAAGAAAGAAAGACTGGGTAGTACAGAGAGACCCCTTTGTTTTTCAACCCGATTTTCATAAAATGCAAATTCTTAACAAGCTGTTCATTGTGTGTAGGGGGGAGTCAGGGGCCAGGAGAGAAGGAGGGGGGCCGCGTAGAGAAGGGCTCCCCATCCCTTCTCCTTAACCTGGGTCTTGGGGCTCAGCGTCTGAGGACTCAGGTCCTCTCGGGCCAGAGGAAGAGCTTCACTTAGAGGGAGACTTAGGGCAGAGGGCGGGTGCGGCCCGCATCCTTCCTGCCCTGTGACTCTCCCACCGCGTCCGGTCCTGGCTGAAGTTAGAAGAGTGGCGCTTTCGCACCCCGCACCTAAGATGCGGGACAAAGCGTGAGGCCCTGAGCCCAGGAAGCCGGGTGTCCCTGCGCAGGGGGTGTTCTTGGGAATTCGCAGCACTACTTCTAAGGGGCCATTAGTCTCTCTCCCGCCCAGGGCTCCAGGACCCTCAACTTGTTGGAGGCAAGCGGTGCTCTCAAGCCATGCTCCAACTTGAGAAGGTGCTTGGGCGGCAGGGTCCTGAGAGTTTTTAGACTTCTGGACACTCGCAGGCGGAGCAGGAGGCGGCAGAAAGCCAGATGGAGCAAGCTGGAGAAAGGGGGTGCTGGGGCGGAGTCAAGGCGAGGGAGTGGGAGGAGATGGGGCGTCCGCGCGTGGGGAATGGAGAGGAGAGCCACTCGAACTGGGGGCGTTGTGATGGCGGGGGCCACAGCCTTCTGAGACCCGAGTGGGGAGGTTTGCGCCTTCTGAGGATAGGGCCGAGCAAAGCGTGTGGCCCGGGGTCGGAGGGCCGGGGAATGTGGCGGTCATCCGGCGCTGCTGCGGGTGAGTGTATCCTGCCGAAGGAAGAAGGCAGGGAACCGAATCTGGGGATGCAGGTTAAGTAACGCACCTTTCGGCGGGGCAGGGTGCCCCCGGACACAGCGAGCGCGCGGTATAGCTCGGCAGGGTGATAGTCCTCCAGTGCTGCGTACAGCTCCTCCCCGGGTGCTCCGGGCGGAGCAGCAGCAGCCGGGGGTCCGGAGGGGGTCGGCGCGGCGCGAGCGGCTTCGGAGTCGGGAGCCCGGCCAGCGGGGTCCGGCGCGGCCGTCGCCTCCTCCTTCTGCTGCAGCTTCCTGAGTCGGCGGAGGGTCATGGCTCCGGCGTCCGGCGCCCCTCGGAGGCCGCGCTCACTCTGCTAGGTGGTGTCGGCGACGGCTCTGGGACGCCAGTCCAGCGGGCCGCGTGTAGCCTTGCTTTATAGACTCCCGAGAGGCGTGGGGAGCGGCCTCCAGTGGCCTCGCCCCCCGACACGCAGGCACCGCCCCCGGGGGGGGAACCGCTATGGCGAGCCCCGCCCACAGTGCACAGCCACCAGCTGTGCTCTGGGAAACTCTGGGGGACTTGGGCGCTCAGTGGGGGAAACCTAGCTGCCCACGGTAGCGGGAGGGACAGCACATCTAGGGCGAGCAGGGGTTTACACGCTACCTGGAAGCAAACTGTGAACGCACATTGGATGAAGTTAGGAAATGGATGACGGCTTTAGTGGTTCGTGGAGATGGGGGCACAGTAAGGCGTCGTGGTAAATAAACTGTGGGAAGCTTTGAGATCCGGGAAGCAGGGGGTCAGACTCTGAGGGGACAGACAAGAGAGAGGGGACCTGGGGCTGCGCAGGGGGAGGGTTGTGGTTTCTGAAGAAGGAACTGGGTGACACTTCTGAATTTACCCAGCAGAAGCCCCTGGGGAGTTAAGGGCTAAGGGTTTCATCTTCCCACCTGCACGGTAGAAGAGCTAACTAAAGCAGCCTTCCTTTCCCAGGGCTAGGAGAAAGGGACGCCGCGGAAACCTGCAACCAGAAGGTTTAATTCTGAGCCCTCCTGGAGCCACCCCCAAGCATGGAATCATCTCTCTTCTCTCTGGATGCTGGAGTTAAGGCTCCCATTCCTCACGTGGGGTTTGGAATATATATGCCCAGAGTGGGTCCTCGGAGTTGGGGCATGACTGGGCACTGAGCCTTTCTCTAGTCCTGTCTTAGATACCATTGCTTAGGCTCTTCGTTACCATGGCTGCCAGGCTGTGGGAGAGGCGAGGATGACCCACAGCCCAAGTCTGTCGTCAGTGGCGCCCAAATAAGAAGCGAGAGAGGGAAGCAGTCGGTGTCTAGCCACCACAGAAGGAGCCTGGGGCTCCACATTCGGACATGAGACACTACCTGTGTGATTTACATACATCATAACGAACCTTATGAGACAGGTACCATGTTATTATCTCTTCCAGAGGAGGAGGAAACTGAGACACAGACAGAAAGCACCTTGCCAGGAGGGTTGCTCAGTGACAAAGCTGTCCAAACAAGGCAGCCCCGTTCTGGAAGTTCTGCCTAACTCTGTGATGCTGACTTCAATTCTTCATCGTGAGTTTGAGCCCTGCTCTATGCCAGGGGCTGGTTAGGCACTGGTGTGACAGAGGTGCTCGGTCTGGGAGCAGGTTGTATGCTGTACATGTGCTGTGTAAGACTGGTACCATGGAGCCGGGCGGTGGTGGCGCACGCCTTTAATCCCAGCACTTGGGAGGCAGAGGCAGGTGGATTTCTGAGTTTGAGGCCAGCCTGGTCTACAGAGTGAGTTCCAGGACAGCCAGGGCTACACAGAGAAACCCTGTCTGGAATTAAAAAAAAAAAAAAAAAAAAAAGCCTGGTACCATGGGGGAGCAGAGGTCAGGAGGCCATATCTCAGAGGCCAGAAAAGATTTTCTTCTACCTGTTCATCAGTCTGGCTGTCTCCCTCTGTCTTGTCTCCCCTCCTCCAGCTGCCCCCCCGACTCCCACCCAGGCCCAAGCCCCTGTGCCCTCACCGCACAAGAAGTATGAGTGGGAGAGATGATCCTCCACCCTCAGAAATTGCACAAGTCCAGATGGCAGGATGCTTGTGGAGTTGGGGGTAGGGGTGGCTTAGAGACTGTGCTAGCTAAGATGTTTCCCTTCAAGCTTCTTTCCCTGCTTTAACCACCAAGTGGCCATCACTTGAGGGACCAAGGGACTGTCGGTGGGGAAACATGGGACTCTATTGAAAGCATTAACACAGATGGACCCTGGACCGTCTGTTGCCTGACTGTTGCCGTCTGTTGTCTGTTGCATCTGTAGCGGGGGAGGGGATGGGGAGTTACAAAGGCAGAAGGCACAAAAGTTTGTATTACATTCATTCTAGTTCTTATCCAAGAAAGGACCCTCCTCCAATGGGATCCTGTGCCACCTCAGGATCTATGGGTCTATGAAGGAGCCACCTGCCTGCTCCAGAGGATTAGTGAATACCCTGTTGACAGACCTCCTTTGTGCTGATATAGAGGTAGATACCTCTCCCCCACAACCCCAGTTTGTGCAAGTCCAACTGCCTCTGGCCTCCAGGTGAGAAGCTACCACAGGGAGCTGAAGTTCTCACCTAAGCAAGAAGGCGCTAGAAAACCCAGAGCGAGTGTGAGCCCGGAAAAGGCATTTTCTCTAAGTCCTTGGCATGATTTCCTCAAATCTTAGGATTTCAGAGCTGGAAGAGGCCTCATGTTCTGGAAAAGACCTGTGTGGTCCAAGCCCTCCTGCCTGCGACAGCAGCCAGAGAGGGAAAGATTGCCCCAGAATGGGCTTAGGAACCCAGGACTCTTGACAAAAGACTGCTAATTCAGCAGCTGGCAGCTGGGGAGAGGACTGCCTGATTCCTCTGCGGTTCCACAGTTTCTCCAGGGAGGTATGGGTAGTCCTGGGTGCCTCCCTGTGGGATGGTGATGCCCTCTGCTGGTCATGAGCCTTGTGGAAATATCTCCAGACTCAAAGCCGGCTGTTGCCCGGCCCCACCTGGAAACCCTGCCATATTTTCGGATCCTATGGAACATTTATTCCTCCTAGGAGGATCAGCAGTGAGTTGGTCACTGAGTTCACAATGAGGAAGTTGTGAGGAGGGAGATGCTGCCGGTGAAATGCACTCCACAGCACGGCTCCAGAGCTCAACCTTCTCTCTCCCATCTCCTCCTAAGCCACGCCCCTTGCCTAGCATCTGTTCTCCTCCAATGAGCCTTCCCCAGGCCTCCTGCCACTCCAGAATGTCCCTTACCAACTTGTGCCTCTTAGCAAATCCCCTGTGGATCTGCTCCTGAGACATCGATACTTTGTCTGCAACTTATGTCGGAGCAGGTGTCGTGTTCCCAGGGAGTTCAGGTTTCCCAGCTCTTTGACTCCAGCTGCCCCGGCTGAGATGGGTTTAAGGGGTGGGGGGAACTTTGGGATTAGTAGGGACTGTCTAACGACAAAGCCCCTTCTCACTTCTTTAGGGACAACCCCTTGCTAAGTCTCCCACCAATCCACAATCCTTTGTGAGAAGCTGGAGGAAGTGACTCCTGTGACCCCACAGACCTACTTAAACTCTGGGGAACCCTCGGGAAGGTGGAGCACTAGAGCCATGAACGTTCAGACCCTGTAGAGTCTCAGTGAGTCAGTTACTTCAGGGCACAGAACTAGCAAGGATGAATAAATAGCTCTGTGGATGCCGCCTCTGCTTCTGTACAGTGGGAGTGGGGTGGGGCGGGGAGGGGGAGGGGCTGGCAGCAAGAGAGGGCCTGGGGCTCAGCTGGCTCTCTGGTACACCAGGAATGACAGGCTGGGCCTCAGCTGCATGACATCACTGCTTGCAGGAGGTATAGAACAGCCGGTGGGCAGCTGGCTGGGCAGGGAATGCTTGTTTTCTTAATGGCTCCTATTGCCTAACAATGTTCCAGGTACAGTGTTGTGTTGGTGCTCGGGCCCTACTAGGGGAGTGTTCTAGCAGCAGGTCTGATCCAGTACAGCTCAGAGACCTGACTCCCAGGAGGTCTGCAGGTAGGAGCTGGGTGGTCAGGACAGTTTGTGTTGGATATGGGGATATGGGTGTCTCTTGGTTTAGTCTCACCCAGAGGCCAAGGATCATCTGCCTCTTGAATGGCCAGGTTGGAGTGATGGAAGGAAGGGACACTCAGTCCCTTTCCTCAGAGCAGCAACACGTCACTCACAGGACATGGAGGACATATTTTCTCACCTCTCACTTTAGCAGGAGAAATGCAGAAATTTAAAGCTCTTAGGGCAGGGACTCCCCAGATCTCTTCCCTGTTGGTAAATGCACACCTGTTCAGCATCGGAATCCCCAGTTTCTGGGGTATGGTGGGGGAGGTGGGCAGCATTGTGCATCGGACTACCCAAGCCCCCAAAACACACGTGGTAGACCTCCAGGCAGTGGCTCTCTCTCTGCCACTGACTCCAGACAGTAGCCAGCTTCCCCTTCTGCATGGCTGTGTCTGATCATGCCTGAACCTGTCTCCTACCCACTGGCTCTGCCTCTCCTCACAGTTCTGGTCTGCTACCACAACAAGTGCCTCCCTACTGACAAGCGGTGCTGCGTCACTCCCCGGCTTACAATCCGCTGTGGTCTGGAAGCCTGTGTCCCACAGACTCAGCCCTCACTGTGATAGTAAGGGGTGGAGGATTTAGGAGATGACTTGGTCAGGAGAGCTCTGTCCTCATGAATGGGGCAGACATTGTGCTGGGTAGTTTTGTGTCAATTTGACACAGACTGGACTTATCTGAAAGAAGGGAGCATTCATTGAGAAAATACCTCCAAGCCTGGTGGTGGTGGTGGTGCGCGGTGCACTCCTTTAGTCCCCGTACTCAGGAGGCAGAGGCAGGTGGATCTCTGAGTTTAAGGCCAGCCTGGTCTACAGAGCAAGTTCCAGGACAGTCAGAGCTACACAGAGAAACCCTGTCTCAAAAAACAAGCAAGCAAGCAAACAAACAATGCCTCCATAGGATTTGGCTATAGGGTATTTTCTTAATTAGTGAATGGTGGGTAGGGCCCTGCCCTTTATGAGTAGTGCTATCCTTGGACTGGTGGTTCTGGGTTCTATAAGAAAGCAGGCCGAGCAAGCCAGGAGCAATCCAGTAAGTAGCACCCCTCCATGCCTCTGCATCAGCTCCTGCCTTCAGGTTCCTGCCCTGTTTGTGTTCCTGTCCTGATTTCCTTCAAAGATGGCCAGTGCTGTGGAAGTGTGAGCCGAATGAACCCTTTCCTCCCCACCATGATTTGGTCATGGTGCTTCATTGCAGCCATAGAAACCCTATGTGCTCTTATAAAAGAGGTTTACAGGAGCCTGTTTCCCTTCCGGCCCCCAACTGGCCGTGTAAGAACTGGTAAGGCACGATCTTCTGGGACCGAGATCTCTATTGATACTGATGCTGCTGGTCTCTTGATCTTGGAGTTTTTCAATCTCTAGAAATGTTAGCTAAAAGTCTGTGTTTATAAATTATCCATGAGAATGGTGGTGCAGGCCTTTAATCCCAGCACTTGGGAAGCCAAGATAGGTGGACCTTTATGAGTTTGTTGGCTACATAGTGAGACCCTATCTCAAAAAACAAACAAACAAAAAAAGCAACAAACAATCCAGGCTAAGGATGTCTTCCCACCCCTACCATGAGAACTGTCTTAGTTAGGGTTTTAGTGCTGTGAACAGACACCATGACCATGGCAAGTCTTATAAAGGACAACATTTATTTGGGCCCAGCTTTCACGTTCAGAGGTTCAATCCCATTATTGTCAAGGCAAGAGCATGGCAGCATCCAGGCAGGCATGGTACAGGCAGAGCTGAGAGTCTACATCTCCATCTGAAGGTGGTTAGGTCTAGTGGAAGATTGACTTCCAGGCAGCTAGGGTAAGGATCTTAAAGCCCACGTCCACAGTGACACACCTACTCCAACAATGCCCCCGCCTAATAGTGCCACTCCCTGGGCCAAGCATATACAAACCATCACAAGGACTCAACCCAGGGACTCACATTCTGTTGTGTTTTAGGGATAGTGTTCTTACCATAGCTTGGACTTTTCTTGTTTTGTTTGAGATAGGGTTTCATTGTGTAGCCTTGGCTCACCTGAAATTCACTATGTAAACCAAGCTGGTCTTGAACTCAGAAATCTGCCTGTCTCTGCCTGGAAAAAGATTCTGAGATTAAAGGTGTGGCTGTCTGGCCCAGATAGACTGGCACCAGAAACAACCTAAACCTAAAACACCCTTCAATGCCATTGCTCTATATGGACAGGGAGAAGGTTTCTGTTTGGTGATTTTGGTTTTTTAATTAGCTAGTTCTCTCTCTCTCTCTCTCTCTCTCTCTCTCTCTCTTCCCTCTCCCTCCCTCCTTCCCTTTCCCCTTCCTGTTTCTATTTACTGTTGTGTTTCATTTTATTTTATTTTTATTTTTTTTTTTAATATTTATTTATTTATTTTATTGATGAGTACACTGTAGCTGTCTTCAGACACACCAGAAGAGGGCATCCAATCTCATTACGGATGGTTGTGAGCCACCATGTGGTTGCTGGGATTTGAACTCAGGACCTCTGGAAGAGCAGTCTGTGTTCTTAACCGCTGAGCCATCTCTCCAGCCCCTTGTGTTTCATTTTAAGACAGAGTTTCTCTGTGTAGCCCTGGCTGTCCTAGAACACACTCTGTAGACCAGGCTAGCCTCGAACTCACAGAGATCTGCCTGCTTCTGTTCCATCACCTCCCAGCTATGACTTCTGGTTTTTAAAGGAAGGGTCTCATGCACCATAGGCTGGCCTTGAAATCAGTATATAGACAAGAATAACCTTGAACTTCTGATTTTCCCACCTCTCTGCTGAGACATATAGAATACCACACACATAGTTTTATAGAGTTGGGAATTGCTATACATGCTAGCTAAGCACGGCCAACTCAACTATATTCTCAGCTCCAGTGGATTTTAACTTAGGGTACAGTATACTAGCTATTAAGAAAAGTTTAAAGACCATTAGTAATTTAAAGAAAGTTACTGATTAGCACAGTCAGAGGGAGCTGTCCCAGCAGAGGTAAGGACATTAGTAACATAGTTGCCATTTCTGTACCCTGCCCCCACCCCGGAAGTTGTGACTTCTAAGCTTGGGAAAAGCTCCAGTTGATTTCCCTCCTTATATTGCTGGCTTCCTTAATGTGGCCAAAAATCTTTAGATTTTTGTTGTTGTTGTCAAGATTTATTTTTACTCTGTAAGTGCTTTGCCTGCATGTATGCAATTGCTTGCATGCCTGGTGCCCACAGAGGCCAGAAAGGACACTGTAGACCCTGGAACGGTTTTTTGTTTTTGTTTTTTTTTTGGTTTTTCGAGACAGGGTTTCTCCGTGTAGTCCTGGCTGTCCTGGAACTAACTCTGTAGACCAGGCTGGCCTCGAACTCAGAAATCCACCTGCCTCTGCCTCCCAAGTACTGGGATTAAAGGCGTGCTCCACCACCGCCCGGCTCTGGAACAGGTTGTTATGGTTTCCAGCTGTACGTGTATGTAGCCGAGGTTGGCCTCAAACTCACAGAACTAAGTTCTGGGATTGAAGGTACTTGACAGTCAGCAGGGCACCCTTGTTTTTAGAGACAGGTGTTTTTAGGTAGCTCAGGCTGGCCTCAAATTGTCTCAAGTGCTGGAATTACAGGTTGTACACTGGGCATGGTAGAGCTCCAGATGGGTTTTTTAAATTTCATCTTGACAACTTCATACATGCGCATATTTTGGTCCTGGCCACACAGCCCACCTCTCCTTTCCCTCTTTTGTGCACTTGTTCTTGAACCCCTCTGTTTCAAACTGTTGCCCCAACTTCCTTTCTCCTTTGTGGAGAGCCCTCTCCCAGTGACCTATCTGTCTTGATCATGGTACCTTCCCTCCTTAGTAGCCATTTGTTCTGTAGGAGGGAAGCCCCTGGAGGGTCCTCTCCTTGCTTCCCTAGACACCCCACAGGCGGTTCTGGGATGCCAGGTGTATTACTCTGTAACAGTCCTTGCCCTAATATGCCTTACATTTGTACAACTGTGATCTGTCTAGATTAAGAATTCCTTGAAGCCAGGGGCCATGGCTTACATGTCTTTGTGTTCTGCCTGTACTTTAAGTCCTAAGGATGCTCAAGAAATAGCCAAAAGCTCACCCGTCTCTGAAACCTCTAGAGCCCATACCCTCATCTTTGGCTTCCAATGAACATCCTCAAAAGGGTCTTCTGTTGGCTGGTCCCAAGGCTTACCAGTTTACAAGGATCTGCTGTTGGCTGCTATCCTCCCTGATCCCAGGACCCATCAGCTTACAAGCTATAGGGCTCAGTTGTTTGGTCAAGTATCTACATAGATTTTTCTATGGAAGTGTTTAGCTGTAACTAACATTTACATCTGTAGGGTTTTGTTTGATACAGTAATTTTTTGTAATAGTTTGTTTTTATTTTAAGTGCTTTGGTATTTTGCCTGCATGTATGTCTGTGTGAGGGCATCAGCTCTTAAGAGTTACAGATAATTATGAGCTGCCATATGGGTTCTGGGATCTCTGAGTTTGAGGCCAGCCTGGTCTCAAGTTCCAGGACAGCTAGGGCTACACAAAGAAACCCTATCAAACAAACAAACAAAAACCCAAGACCTTGCCGGGCAGTGGTGGCGCACGCCTTTAATCCCAGCACTTGGGAGGCAGAGGCAGGTGGATTTCTGAG